TGAGCCCCAGGAAATGTCTACCACTCTTCCTCAGAGTTCTCTAATAGAGGTAGAACTTGAGGATGTGCCATTTTCTCAGAATGCAGGACAGAAGAATCAATCAGAGGAGCAGTCTGAAGCATCTTCTGAACAACTGGATCAGTTCACACAGTCAGCAGAAAAAGCTGTAGATAGCAGCTCTGAGGAGATAGAAGTGGAAGTGCCTGTGGTAGACAGGCGGAATTTAAGAAGAAAGGCCAAAGGACACAAAGGACCTGCCAAGAAGAAAGCCAAGCTGACCTGAATGAAGAAATACGTATGATGAATCCTCTTCTTTGTGACATAATAGTTGTTTTTAAGACATGGTAATTAATAAACAGCATGGGGCACAGGACAAAAATTTCCAAAATTTCAATTTGAACTTATTTACAGTGCAGTTTTTCTCTTCCCTTTAGGAACTAGGATTCACCATAGTTTTTAATTTTGCAGGCTATTTTGTGTATATAACAATTTCTTATTTTTATTAACCATGTTTCAATTTTGGGAATCCAGATCATATTATATTTTTCTTTAGCAAGTGGGACATCTGACCATTAATATTAAAAAATAAAAGTTGTGAAAGTAGTAGGCTTTTTGTTTCTTGTAAGGATTATAAAAATCTTTTATATTAAGGGTTTTAATAGTAAAACATGGTGAGAGTTCTAGAAGTTTTATCTTAGATATCAAAACTCATTTTTTAAAATGTAGGCATGCCTAAAAAAACAAGCATCAGTAAATTAGAATCCATAGAACATCAACTACATGACAGCACAAAAATTTATGGTCAGAGATTTTTGAAGCCAATGTTTTGGTTTTCAGCTTCCTACTTGTACAGTTTCTTTCCACTTCAGTGTCTGTGGATTGGTATATATAAGATCTACTTCTAACCCTTTATGATCTGATATTAACAAGACTGCTGGGGTAACTGGCACATGGGCACATTATTTAAATTCCATATGAAGTATTAGTTTCCTGTAATTTTTTTGTCTTTGCATATCTGCAGATGCTTACAAGCTTACAAAATATTCCAACTAAGGGAATTTAGGGATACCATTTATCTTGACTATCAGTCCTGCTCACAGATAAATTAAGCTAGAGTATACTTTTGATCCTACCTAGTTAATACCTGTACTTAAGAAATGTGCAGTTTTCTCCTAATCCTCCTTCTGACCTAATTCTGTAGTCTGATTTTCTCCTCAGTTTTCATCTGTCCCTCTAACTCATGGAGTGATTCTCAGGTTAGAAGGTCTGCCTGCCTTCCTGCCTCCCAGTTTGTGCCCTTGTATCCATATTTTGGGTAGGTATAGAACTATGTCCCACAATCTTAAACCTAAAATGGTAGGGGTAAATCTGCCCTAGAAGTTGTAGTTACAAAAACTTCAATGAATTGGGGGAAATTCAGCTATCCCTTTGGTCTTGTAGCTCTAAATTTGTTCTGAGAGTTCTGGTTGCAAGCTAGCTTATTGTGTGTACTTTGTGTTGCCATAGCAAAAGCATTTATTGGCTTAGGGAAATCTGGAGGGGAAACATCCCATTCCTCAACTGTTTTTGCTATATGGTAATTTATTTTTAAATGTACTAAATAGCTATTTGAGAACTCAAAAAGAATTTCAAAAGTAATTTTTTAAAATAATACATGTACTTCAATTTGTACTTGACTGGAGAATGTTTTCAAACCACTCAGATTTTTGAACTAGCCTATTTCTTGAATCATGTGTGAATAAGTTACAGCTGAGCACTGGTGGTTCATGCCTGCTGTCCTAGGTACTCAGGAGGCTGAGATCTGAGGGTCAAGGCTTGATGCCAGCCTGGACAGAAAAGTAATCAACAAAAGAGCTGGAAGTGGAGTTGTGGCATAAGTGGTAGAGCACCAGTCTTGAGCAAAATTCCAAGTGAGGTATGAAGGCATGAATTCAAGCTACAGTAATAGTATAAAAAAAGAATTGTTATGAAAGTCATGATATATTATGACTTTGTGTCCTTATTTGAAGTGGTATGTTTATGTTGAAGGTCTGCTGTCTTCAGTCAAGTTATGTGTTACCATTGCATTACATTTTTAGATGTTATTTTTATAAAGATCTAGTTAAAATATTTAAGCAGACAAAATCAACTCTGCCCTTCATATAACATCTAGATTTATTGTATTTGCCATTTTCTGTAATTGTTCAGAGACAGTTATATAACTTCTTAGTGAAAATCAAAGTATTTTGGCCAATTTTTTCTACATGAAAGAAAGTCATGAATCTATAAAATACATTGCTTTGTATGTTTGTAAAACCTTGTTAATATCACATCTAGGCAAGTAACTAAAGATTCTGAAAACTTCCATTTTTTTCATTTTTTAGAATTCCTTAGATATTTTACTAATTCTTTTCGCCACTTTTCCCTTTAAATTGCTTTCTTTAAATGAGTGGAGTTTCTAAGAGTGCGTTTACTGGCAATTCTTGACATGTCAGTGGTTCTCTTATTTTAAAAAAAATGTATTTATTCATCTACCATCACTGGAGACTAACAGTATAAACTTACGAAATTTGGTTTAAATAGTAACTAAGCAATTTTAAGTCTTTTTGCCCACCATACAAGAAAACTTTTATTGCCTGTTTTTCTTGAGACAACGTCTGTGTAGTCCAGGTTACTTTTGGAATTTTCCATCCTCCCCGTCTCAGCCTCTAAAATGCTGGTATTAAGTATGGGCACCATGGCTGGCCTCCTACTTATTCAGACAGAAAATGCTGAGGATTTATAGATACTAAGAGGAAAAGCTAGGTCACATGGAAAAACCTTTTATATTCAGTAACTAAAATTATATAAAATCCATAGCAGAATTTATCAATAGGAGCCTAAATAAACTTAACCTGATACTTTATTGGAAAAACCATCAGTATCACAGAGGACTGCAATGTGATTTCAATCAGCCAGTCTGAATGTTGAGTGTTCAGTCACATTCTACATAGTCCTTTGTGAACTGGTATTTTGTTTAAAAGCCTTCTTTGCAGAGAAGGGAGTTCACTTCTTGTGTATATACATATATAATTCCTTGTATAATATAAAGCAGATGGTTATTAGCAGAATTTTAGTTTATTCAAATGCTAGACCTCACAGAAATAAGTAAGGATTCACTGTAAAGCTCCTCTACAACTTATAAAGGTGAGTTCTATTATGGTTTTTAAAAATATAATCAAATGGCATGGCTTAGAATGTCAGTCTTACACTTAAAATGTGTCTATATTCGTGGCATTTGCATTCAGTGCAGAGATGGTAAAGAGTATAGTCATTATTTACTATCTAGTCATATAGATAGTATAGTTATATCAGATGATTATTATCTATAGTCATTCACAGTTTACTTTTAAAGACTACCAGAACACTACCTAAAATGGTTTGTAACTATTATAAAGTACCTTGAAAGTTTATAATGGCACTGCATTGAGCCTTTACCTAATACCTAAATATCTGCTCTTAAGTTCTGCTTTATCCTTTGGGATTACCTTCTGAGGTTTGGTCACACCAGCAAGCTGAAACAGATTTTAATGTAAATAAAGAATTTATACTAAAATTATTCATCTGTGAACAGTATTTTGGAAGCAAATTCATGCCTTTTGTGTCCATTAGTAGCACTACAGTATTTCAGGTGTGATCCAGTCCATGGGTGTGGTTTGTTACAAATGTTAGTTACCCTTGTTTTCATACTGGTAAAACTTTTGTACAAGACAATGGCTTATTTTGAGTTCTAAAAAAATAAGTAAAAAGCTCGTTTGTGTAGTATCCAGTGATTACCTGAAGTCAGTTTTTTTTTTTTCCCTTTCACTTTCTAGAGCTTAATTCGCACACTACTTATTTTGATTACAGGTGAAGTAACTTGAAATCTAATTGTAAGAAAGGTGCAGTCTTGTCCTACTGATTGCCACACTGGATCATCTTCCTAAGTGTCTGTGTGTGTTCTAAAACTCTTGTTTATAAAATTTACAAAAAAAAAAAGTTGTCTTATTCAGAGTAGCAAGTCAAGTCTTACTGGAGAAATTTTTCCTTGGTAGTTTTTTTTTTTAAGTTTAAAGTAGTAATTAAACCTATATTTTGTTACTGTGTTCTGGTCTGTTCTGAAGTTCTTTCCCTTCTGTTCCCAGTATTACTTATGAAATGTGTTTGGATACCGAATTTGTTTTAAATGGATTTCTTAAAGGGACAATTAGTCACATTGATGGTACTTTGAAGACACAAATATGACTTTAATTTTAACTAAGTATCTGCAAATAAATTTTGGGACATCAGTGCAAATTAAGCTAGTTACATTTATTAAATCAATTTTTTAACTATTCTCAAGGTATGTATATATACTATTATTTTTAGGATGTAGAAACTGCTTAAACTACATTTTAGTTCACTGACAAACTTTAAAGACTAATCAACAGGTAAAAAGGTATTTCTAAAGTTCTACATTTTCTTGTTGGTATGCCTTCAGATACTTTAGAGTAAACATTTTATATGCTTAAAACATTATCATGTTTTAATATTTTTTAGGGTCTGTGAGAACAATGAGGTTGAAAACCACAAAATTTCCTGGTTTTGACTTCTTTTTCTTTGGTCCGGTCATGGGGCCTGGGCACTGTCCCTCAGCTCTTCGGCTCAAGGCTAGCGCTCTACCACTTGAGCCACAGCGCCACTCCCGGCTTTTTTCTTTTTGCTTATGTGGTGCTGAGGAATCGAACCCAGGGCCTCATGCATGCAAGGCAAGCGCTCTACCACTGAGCCACCTTCCCAGCCCCCCTGGTTTTGACTTCTAAGTGTGAATTCATCTGTTAATATTTTCAACTCTATACTGGTAGTTTTTCCAGTAGTAATAGACTTATATCACCAAATACTCACTTTCATGCAGATACTGTTACCTGTATGTTTGCTTTTTTAATCATTCAAGTTTAGTAACATGTAAGCTCTTACCAGTCCCCTATAAATAAATACCAATTTGTAAAAACAGGCCTTTTTTTTTTTTTTTTTACAATTTCGTAACTAGTTTTGTTGATTTCAGCTAAGTAAGGCTATTTGATAGCACTCAGAAACAACACAATGATGGTGGTTTTCCTGATTGGTTTGTAGTCTTCAAAAATTGTAATTACTTGTTTGAAATGTCTGTCAAACCAGTAAGACTGCATTTATACATCCATCGTTTTCAGGATTGTTGGTAACCTGGGCATATTTACCTAAGGAAAACAAAACAAGGAGACAAGTGGAATGTTAGCTACCAAAAACTTGTTGAAGATTATGACCTTTGATTTAAAATCTAATTATCATTCCTAATATGTAAGAAATTAAAGTTTTACAAACATGTCATTCAAAATATGCCAATTTTGGGTTCTGTACACAACCTTTTTCTTTTTTGTAGTTAATAAGGTGATGTACATGAGGGTTATAGTTTCGTGAGTCAGGTAAGGAGGATATTTCTGTGGAAAATGTTACCCCTTCCTTGAATCCAACCTTTATATTAAGTGTTTTTCCAAACAGCAGTCTCTATTTGTACCTTATATACATATACATATATATATATATACATATATATTTATATTTATTTCCCCCATGACACTCACTGAAAAATACATTGCATTTTGCTCAGTATTGCAATGAGGTCTTGTTATGTATCCCAGGCTAACCTAGAACTTGGGATCCTCCTCTTTCCACTTCCTGAGTGCTAGGATTACAGGTGTCCACTATACTATGCTCAGTAATGCAAGTACTTTTTTGGTGGAGAGGGGGATAAGGGGTGGTGACAGTAATGTTAGAAATAAATCCCAGGGACTTGTACATATGTAACAAGCTTTCTACCACTGATCTATAGCCCCAGTCCTTATGGGGTTTTAAAGAGTTTCAGATAAATTTTACAACCTATTAAAAAACTAAGGTCAGCCAACATGACATTGAGATAGTGATTCAAGAATTTCAAGGTAATTTTCCTTGCCAGAGAACATTGAAATTTAGAAAACATTCTGGACATTAAAACCATAAAATCAAGCAAATTAAAAAGTTAAAACTACATGAAAAAGTTCAGTCTTAATTACTGAAATACTATCTTTAGGTTTAATGTATGCCTCTTCCCTCACAATGAATTATTCCATGTAACTTTCCATCTGCTTCCCTCATTAAAAGAAATTTATAAAAAAATCAAATCTAATAGTATATCTTATATACTGAAAACAAACTAAGTTAAAAAAGAATTAGCTAGGTGCCAGTGGGCTCACACCTGTAATCCTAGCTATTCAAGAGGCTGAGATCTGAGGCTCACAGTTCAAAACTAGCCTGGGCAGGAAAGGCCCTAACTTTTTTTGGTCGGTCGTGGAGGCTGAACTCTGGGCCTTGGCACTGTCCCTCAGCTCTTCAGCTAAAGGCTAGCGCCCTACCACCACTTGAGCCACAATGCCACTTCCAGCTTTTTTCTGCTTATGTGGTGTTAAGAATTGAACCAAGGGCCTCATGCATGCGAGGCAAGCACTCTACCATTGAACCAACTTCCCAGCCTGGCCAAGAAACTCTTATCTCCAAATTAACCACCAGAAAACGAGAAGTGGCTCTGTGGCTCAAGTGGTAGAGTGCTCGCCTTGAGCTGAAGGGCTGAGGGATAGCGCCCAGGCCCAGGCCCCACAACCAACAAAAAAAGAAAAAAACTACTCATGTTTTTCTACAAAAATATCCTTTGTGGGCTGGAAAGGTGGCTAGGTGGTAGAGCACTTGCCTTGCATGCATGAGGCCCTGGGTCGATTCCTCAGCACCACATAAGCAAAAAGAAAAAAGCCGGGAGTGGCGCTGTGGCTCAAGTGGTAGAGCGTTAGCCTTGAGCTGAAGAGCTGAGGGACAGCACCCAGGCCCAGAGTTCAGGCTCCACCAAAAAAAAAAAATCCTTTGTAAGAGTTACATTTGATTACACCAAGTTTCAACTTATTTAGGTCTTCTACATTAAAAAACATTTTATACTAACCTAAAAAAGAAATCAAATTTCTACTAGAACTATAGAACATAGAACAACAACAGTCCCATATTCAAAGATTTACTTACCCCAAATAACCTTGCCTCCTTGTGTCACTAGGCCCAGCTCACTCACGTTCACTTCAATGACTGTCCCTTTGGTAATGACACCCAAAGTTGTATACAGTGGGGATGAGGGATTCTTTTTCACACCAAGTATTGGCAGGCAAAAGGTGGCTTTCAGTTCAGGATGTGTTACATGGGCCTTCTTGAAACGTAAGCCCTAAAAAGTCAAACACAAAAATGTCTGAGTCCGAAATGTTAACAAGTAGACTTTTTGGATGTTTTTCAATTTTCTTAAGCATGGGTTGAGTAATATCAAATTTTAAACTGTCAGATAAAATAGTAACATTTCTATAGACTTAAAAAAAAACTGACAGAGAAGCCAGGTACCAGTGGCTCATGTGTAATCCTAGCTACTCAGGAGGTTGAGATCTGAGGATTTTAGTTGGAACCAGTCTGGGCAGGAAAGTCTGTGAGATTGTCTTATCTCCAAATAAACACCAAAAAACTGGAAGTGGAGCTGTGGCTCAAGTGGTTGAACACTTACCTTGAGCCAAAAAACTCAGGGACAATGACCATCCTCTGAGTTCAAGCCACACAGACACTCCAAAAAGAAAAAAAAGAGCCCACCAAAAAACCCCAACTAAGGGAATCCTTACTAGGTCTAGATAGCAAACCTTTTAGACTTTGTAGGCCATGGGCTTCCCTTCACTAAGACTTTGTTTATAAAAGTAAGACTTCATATTTAAATACACCAAAAGTTACTCAGGTTGAGCACTATGATGAATACCATCTGTTTTTCTCTTTCCAATTCCTTCTCTTTCTAATCAATTAGATATCTAGCAGTAAATTCAGTTTCTTTGAAGGGATTCTATAAAAATATACAATTATATTCCCCCCCCCAAAGAGGTAGACAAATGGGAGTAGGGGATTTGTTTGGGGGTATAGTTACACTGCTGCCATAGAAAAGCCACTTTTCTATTCCCCCCTAGCTCTTCTTTTTGCTGGCAATATCCTGAATGATTTCAAAAGGATTTAAGTTATTGACCTTGCTGGTGCCCGGAGGCTCACACCTGTAATCCTAGCTACTCAGGAGGCTGAGATCTGAGGATTGAGGTTCAAAGCCAGGCCCCGTAGGAAGTGAGACTCTTATCTCCAATAAGCCACTCAAAGCCGGAAGTGGCGCTGTGCTCAAGTGGTAGAGCATTAGCCTTGAGCTGAAGAGCTGAGGGACCGCACCCAGCACCAGAGTTTAAGACCCATGACTGAAAAAAAAAATGATACTGACTTTACTGCAATGTGACTCAGTGACACTACAGTACTACCTAAGTTGTCTAACTGGTCTCAAAGACATAGACAAATGTTTTGAAGTCTATCAGTGTCAGGCATGTTGGATATATAAAATGTGACTATATGTAGAAAATGGAGATTTAAAATTTTTTCCATATACTTTTAGGAATATGAAAGTCATGAGTCTTGACTATAAGAAGAAAATGTTAAGTAATTCCCATCAATAACAAAGTAACAAAAACAGTATAAAACTTTTTTTTCAACCTGGTTCTCATACCAGTTTTAGGAACTTTACCAATTTTAACAAAGGAATTAACACTTAAGTCACTGCACTTTTGCCAAGGACTTACCATTGGTCTGATGAACCTTTCATATTTAGGAGGCTTTCTTGTAAAACCATCTCCAACAAAGCAGACTTTAGTAACCATCCTCTTCCATGCCTTCTTTTTCCTCTTTCCTGTACGAATAACTTTTAATACTTCTGTTTCTCCCTGGGCCCGAACTTTTGGCAGAGGGACTTCCCACTTTCCCTAAAAATGGGAATTGATATTTTAAGTAAAGGACAATGAGAATAAATCAAACATGCTTTGGTCATACGAAGTAATAGATTCACTTTTTTTCCCCTAACATTCAACACATTTGGTTGAGTTTTCTATAAATATTTAGTCTCATTAGCCATGATCACACAAAACTAAGTTGATAAATCATGGCGACATCAGGTATTGAAGCTAAAAATATTAAGGCCTTATAATGGGTAATTAAAAATACATCTACAGCAAAGCAGTAGCTTCTGTAAGTAGTGATATACTTACTCTACTAGTCAGTAACATAAAATCTTGCCAAATGTACCTCAAATGGACTTTTGGATTATACGACTAGCAAGAAAATCTCTCAGTGGATGTTTTGTTCCTCTCTATAATGCAAAGTTTTATGTACACACAACAGCAGTGGAAAAATTCTGGACCTATTACTAAGATACCAATTTCAAGAGCAGCATCACTATTTCATAATTAACCATGAAGAATGACTGAGAACTTACGGGACTCCACTCTTGTGAAACAAGGGGTTAAAGAGATGACAAGTAAGGTTTCTTTTGGTGTCATACAATGATATTCTAGCAAGTTTAAATTTAAAAAAAAAATCACATTCTAAACCTGGTGATGAGAAATTATTTAATCAAATATGCAAACTTCAAAAAAATTATCTAAAAATTGGGAATAAGAATTGCCCTTCATGTTTGAAATTAAACTGAAGAAAAACTCAGAATGAATTTAACTGTCCTGAACAAAAGAGAAGACTTCAAATTTTACTGCTTACCGCCTTCTCTTTCCGTTTTTGTTTAATCATATTGGATAGTACTTTTGCTCGGGACTGTCCTTCTCTGTCCAGCAAATAGGCAGGTACTGCTCCCTGAGGAGTCTTCTCATCATCTTTTTGTTTGGTGTTTCTCTTTTCATGCATCTTGATGCTATCAAGAAGGAAAGAAGATTCAATAATAACCCCTAACAACAGATAGTAACTTGTTAGGTGAAATGAATGGGCCCACTTACGTCTTTTTCATTTGTATTTTCTCAGCATGGCGCTGTTTGTGGTAGAGCTTAGCCTTCAGGCCAATCATTTTTTTTGCCTTCTTTGACCGTTCATGAGCCTCTCGGCTTTCTTTCTTTCTTTTTTTCTCATGGTAATCCAGACGATATCCATAGCGTTTACGGTGTAATTCAATATATTCATTTTGTGGCTATAATGTAAGAAATGTTACTTTAAATTGTAAAAGTAGTGACAAAATTATTCTAAAATTATGACACAGTACATAGATACAATCCTGTATTGTCCTCACTTGCTTATTCCCATGATATAAGACATATTTTAATCTTGGATAAATGAAAAGCATACATCTGTAATAATCTCAGTGAGTTACTCGATTAAAAGAATGATCTGACTACAGAAATCTCTTCTTACCATTAGTAAGGGAAACTGCCTTTCAAACATTTCTAATTCACCCAAAGTTCCCTTGTGCCTGTTTGAAACCAATCATCTTCCTTATCCTCAGTCTGTTATCTCTCCTTAGGATTTTGTCTTTCCCAGAATGAAATGTGAACAAGATCTATGTTATGTACATCCTTTTGCATATGGTTTCTTTCATTTTGCTGAAGACTTAGGGGTTTTGTTGGATATGTCAGTACATCAGCCCTTTTTATTGCTAAGGATGTTATTTAAAGATGAAAGATTTATAGTTTTGGGTATTTAGGAATAAGGCTGCAATGAAGAGTTGCATGCCTGCCTGTTTTCCAAAGTGGATGTATTTTGTATTTCACTAGTAATGTATAGAATCCTTTTTGTATTTTAAATAAGCTGCTTTATTTTAAACACGTGGCCGGTCTATATCTTCATTTTAAGATTCCCCCAAATACAGCTGGAAGCCGGTGGCTCACGCCTGTCATCCTAGCTACTCAGGAGGCTGAGATCTGAGGATCACGGTTCAAAGCCAGGAATTACTTCGCTGATTTATCCTTTGGCAAAGGCCCATCAGTTTCCTAAGTAGGAAAGTCCAGGAGACTCACCTCCAAATACCCACCAAAAAGCCAGAAGTGGAGCTCGGCTCAAGTGGCAGAGTGCTACCCTTGGGAGTGTAAATAAACGAAAAGCCTGGGATAGCCTGGAGTTCAAGCTACGCGATCGGCACAAAACAACGACCGCGAAACTAAAACGATGCCCAGTCCAGTCCCGCTCAGCGAACCAGGCTAAGCAACCGCGAACAAAGTCGTGAGGCGGTGGTATCAACCGCTATGGCTCAGGCTTTGTGGCGAGCACAAAACCACGAGGAGGAATTCCTTTCTGGAGACGGACTGGAGACGGAGAGCCGATGTCTTCGGGGACTGGCCTCTGGCAAGGACTCAGTTTCCCAAGTGGTCAAGGGATGCGCTGGTGTCGACACGTACTGTAGATGACCACACACCTCCAGCATGTTCCCACTAGTCTCAGCCACCACGGGCACGGGGCTCCGAGACTGGTGACCTGGCAACGCCCCCCAGTGCCCCCGTGTGTCTGGCAGACTGCATACGCGACGCCCCCCCAGCACGGCGCTGCCCGAGCTCCGCGAGACCGCCCGCCCTCCCGCCGCCCCGCC